TGTGTGTGTGTGTGTGTGTGTGGGTGTGCGTGTGCGGGTGTGTGTGTGTGTGTGTGTGTGTGTGTGTGTGTGTGTGTGTGTGTGTGTGTGTGTGTGTGTGTGTGTGTGTGTGTGTGTGTGTGTGTGTGTGTGCGTGCGTGCGTGCGTGCGTGCGTGCGTGCGTGCGTGCGTGCGTGCGTGCGTGCGTGCGTGCGTGCGTGCGTGCGTGCGTGCGTGCGTGGGTGTGTGTGTGTGTGTGTGTGTGTGTGTGTGTGTGTGTGTGTAAAGTAAGCACTGCATTCCTTGAGGTTGGCCATGGTATGCTAGCACTCTGCCTGTCAGAATCTCGATAATTCAGTTTGACTCTCAAGCACACGTCTGACCGGAGAGATCAATAACAAGAGTCATAACATGATGATGGAACATTTGGGCTCAAGAGCAGTCGCAAAACCCTAAACCCTAAACCCTAAATCCTAAACACTAGGCCTTGAACCCTCTAGGTTTGAAAGCGCTTTTTTTTGTGCTTTTGGCAGGTTTTTTGGGGTTTTTGGGCCACTCCCCGCCTCCACTCGGTGGCGGTGTTTTTTCCGTGTTTTTCCGTTTGTTTTTGTAGTTTTTTTCCGGCCGTCTGGCCCAGCAAGCAAGCAAGCAAGTAAGCAAGCGAGCCAGCAAGCAAGCAAGGAAAACAAGCAAACCCTAAACCCTAAACCCTAAACCCTAAACCCTAAACCCTAAACCCTAAACCCTAAACCCTAAACCCTAAACCCTAAACCCTAAACCCTAAACCCTAAACCCTAAACCCTAAACCCTAAACCCTGAACCCTAACCCGACAGGCATGGTTTCCCGCTCCAAGGATCTCCACGAAAGATCAGGCTTCGCTCTCACTTGCTGTCGTGAGTCGCTGAGAGCCGGGTTGCGTGAGAGAAGATTGGAACTTTTTGCGGATTTGCCGCGAAACTGACCTTAGATTCTACGAAGTCCCAGCTTTGCGAAATCCCAGGCGCACCTGTATGCGGACCGCTGAGACTGGGACCTTCATGTCACAATCTCTGTGGCCTGCCCGACAATTTGCGTCGGCTCGCCATCAGTCTCTGCTGCTGGCTTCCTCACAGCCGGCTGAGCGCCATCTCGCTTCTCTGGCATCAGCACACGGGCCCATGTTAGGCAGCAGCATGCGGCGAGTGTCGGCGCAGCGAGCAACGTCAAGTAGACTTCGACACGAATCGCGAACAAGACGTAATCGCACTCACTGATGTCTTTAACCGGGAGCTCACTGGAACATGACAGACTTGACCGAAAGAGGTAAACCATCAGCAGTAGGGCCACCGGGATCAAGGCACAGCATCCCAAGCACGCCAGACATCCCGAAAGGGACTCGTCGCGCGGGCAGCAGACCCAGGGACACAGGCAACTGGCAACTGCCAAGAAGATCAGTGCCAGTGCCAGCTGGCTGCCGCGGAATGGCAACTCCCAGTTGCCGCAGCTGCGCTCGCACTCATGATCGCCCCTTTCGAACCACTGATATCGGAATACGTTGCCTACATCCTCTTCGTAGCACTCTTCCCGACAGCTCCGTTGAGTTTGATAAACCGCATGGCTGGCTCCGATGACGATGGCGGCCGCAACGGCCAAGCACCCAAACGCCAGGACATCCAAGCTCCGGAAACTCCGAGCAAGTCTCGTTGACTTGTCGCCGCCGGCGAACATCTTAGCCCTACAACGGGAGGAGCTGCGGTGCTTTCAAGCTTGAGAAGGGCACATGGCGCAGAAGATGACATCTAGGTGGGGGGGCGAGGATATGCAGCTTGCAGTTGCTTCTGCTAAAGGGAAATACATGGCGGGCAAAAAAAAAAGGAAACCGCAGAATGGCGCATCGCAAAAGCCCCCTCTGACACAGGCACAAAGGCCCTTCTAGCAGGCACGGGCCACCGAGACTACTGCACAACAGCCGACAACCGAAAACAGAATAAAGCTCAGCCTAGATAGCTCTCTTGAGACATCCATGGAATTAAACCAAACTACGGGGTTCATGTCTTCGGGCATGCTTCGGCTGCACTGTCTACACGCATGTGCACCGCAGGATCGGGCGCGCAGGTGTGCCTACGCGCCGATGCGTCCACGAGAGCGCTAGCCCTCGGTGCATCTTTGTTCCATCCGACCTCGCCCCTCCCTGGACACATCTTGACATGAGCCGGACCGCAAAAGAGTCTGATTTGGAAATGTTTCGATACCAAGAGCCTGCCATCTAGATTGCGAAGATATGCTAAGATCCCTGTGAATAAGTACACGGTCTTCTACCTTTCTACCGCACGTGTGCTTCGCGCTTCGCGCACCGGCAGGACACAGGAGAAGGGGCGCGCAACGCAGTACGCAAAGTCAATATACCGCAGCTACAACATGTCACTAAACATCTTTGCACCAAAGGGTGCTGGCAATGAAGAGGCAGCGAATAGGCAGCGGATTTCAAGAATTCAGCATCGGAGCTTTGGATCTCCAACAGGCTTAGGGCTTAGGGCTTAGGGCTTAGGGTTTAGTGTTTAGGGTTTAGGGTTTACAGTAGGGTTTAGGGTTTAGGGGTTAGGGTTCAGGGTTTAGGGCTAGCAGGATCTGACAAACACTCAGCCATCCAGAGGTGAGGATGCACTGAGAGAGGCAGCGGCAGCACAGGGATTTGCAAGTCGACGCAGGCTGGCAGCTCTCCTCCATGCATTTATACCGACCGTGCGAAGTGTCTGCTTGCAGTTGATATCTTCAACCCCAAACCCCAAACCCCAAACCCCAAACCCCAAACCCCAAAACCTAAACCCTAAACCCTAAACCCCAAACCCTGATCCAGTGCATTCACCTCCTTGTGTGGAGAATGCTTGCCCTCCGGCTATACTCTCTGGCTCTTCTCACGCCAAGAGACCCTACATATTCAATCCTAAACCCTAAAACCCTAAACCCTGAACCCTGAACCCTGAGCCCTAAGCCCTAAACCCTAAACCCCAAACCACCACCTCTGCACAACACTCCTAGGTAGAAGGCACGTATGTCTCGGGCACGCAAGCTGCTCTTGGGTGTTTCGGCAGGGCATGTCCGTGTCGGATCTGTTGTATGCCCCCTTTATTCAAATCTGAAATCTCCTCTGAAAAGCGGTCCCAACCCTAAACCCTAAGCCCGAAACCCTAAACCCCAAACCCCAAACCCCAAACCCTAAACCCTAAAACATAAGCCCTAAGCGAAGCCTTGTCTTGCCTTGGCTCGGTGTTCCCGTCGGTGCGATGGCGTCACGTGACGGGGTGCTCCGGACGTTGCAGGGTTGAGGATTGAGGATTTGCGTCGGCTTTCGCAGCTTGGGAATCCGGGGGCTTAGGGTTTAGGGTTTAGGGGTTAGGGTTTTAGGTCTTGGGGCTTAGGGCTTAGGGCTTAGGGCTTAGGGCTTAGGGCTTAGGGCTTAGGGCTTAAGGCTTAGGGCTTAGGGCTTAGGGCTTAGGGCTGAGGGCTTAGGGCTTAGGGCTTAGGCCTCGTGGCGCGACTACAAATGTTCTTCAGCCTTCTGGCTAACACCCCGCATCCCTAACCCCTAAACCCTAAACCCTTAAACCCTAAGCCCTAAACCCTAAACCCTAAGCCCTAAACCCTAAACCCTAAACCCCAATCCCTTAAACCCTAAACCCGAAACCCTGACCTTCTGGATCTTTTTCTGCGAGTCGGGGGAGTCGGTGCTCAGTCGCCCGAGAAGTAGAACCTGCCCATCTGCCAAGCTGTCTCCAGACATGACTTGAGGGGGTCCATTTCTGACTACATATATATATATATATATATATGGTACCCCCCCCCCCCCCAGTGACCTACCCTTTTTCGCCTTGTCTCAAGTCACCCAGCTGCACTGCAAGCAAACTCGGTGTGCAATATCGCGTATTTCCTAGGGCGTAGACTAAAATACAACTAAAATCGCGTACACGGGACAGTAGAAAAACCAAAAATACCAAAACCAAAAAACCAAAAAACCAAAACCAAAAAAAACAAAAAACAAAGCCAAAAAACAAAAAAAACAAAACCAAAAAAAACAAAAATACCAAAAAAAACAATTTTCCGGGACTCTCAGGAAATCCCTATGAGGCTTCTCCAAGAGTCCCGGAAATTTTTGTATTTTTGGTATTTTTGGTTTTTTTGGTTTTGGTTTTTTTGGCTTTTTTGGTTTGGGTATTTTTGGTTTTTGGTTTTGGTATTTTGGCTTTTTGGTTCGCCTTCACGGTCACGAGGCAACAACCACGCATTTTTAAGTGTGCTTATGCTAATTGTGCCTTTCAAAAATAGTATACAAGTGGTCTTTCTAGTGCTTCAGAACTATTTGTTTCGTTATTATGTACGTAGAGCCGCTAGTGTTTAGTGCATCTTTGGTTGTACTCAAGTGTAGTAGACCTTATTCAGCCATTACTTGGTGCTCTGGTAGCTCAATTCGCATGGATAATATTTGCCTGGTAAATGCGATTAATTATCTAGAAGCAGCATTTGCAATACTTGTCTTGAGAAAAAGCATTTATTGCTCAGAATTGTTTGCTTAAAAAGTGACTCCTCCTCGTCCAGGAATACCCCAAAACCCTATAATCCAAACTTTACCAGAGATTCTCCTGAAAAGCTTGCGCTTTTGGATGTTTGTATGTATGTGAATTTGCCTGTGTATGGCCTTCACTAAGTTCTTTTCTAGGATTCTTGTGCATTTTTTAAGCCTGATTGTGCAAGTTGCGTTTTTCAAGCATAGTATATATGTGGTCTTTATTGAATACTTCAGACATCTTTGTTTCATCGTTATGTAAGTAGAACCGCTTCTATTTCCATTGTTGTGCATTTTTAAGCTTGCTCATGCAAATTGTGCTTTTCAGACATAGTATATAAGTGGTCTTTAGTGAATACTTCAGCAATCTTTGTCTCATTGTTATGTAGGTAGAACCGTTTCCATTTCCGCAAGTGTTTTTTCGTATTTGGTTGAGTATGGTCCTTTAAATCGTATTCACTTGAGTCAAATTGGGCTATTTGCTTAAGAATTCCTCTAGTAGTGAAATTCGCATAGAATGAATACTTCAAAAAAAACTGTTTCATGAATATGTAAACATAAGGTGTTTCATTTGACTTTGCAGATAGTACTTCAATAATACTTTGCCTGGTATAAACACAACTGTTTCAATGCATTAGTTGCTCAACAAAGCACTATTTGCCTTTAAACCACACTTTGCCATATTTTGGTTGAATATGGTGCTTCTTTCGTATTTTGGTTGAGTATGGTCCTTTAAATGGTATTCACTTGAGTCAAATTGGGCTATTTGCTTAATGATTAATTACTCTAGTAGCTAAATTCGCATAAAATGATTATTTCAACAATAAAACGATTCATGAATATGTAAACATAAGGTATTTCCGTGGACTTTTCAGAGAGCATACTTTGCCTAGTACAAACACAAGTATTTGCACTTTAAAGGCACACTTTGCCATTTTTTGGTTGAGAATGGTGTCTATTTCGTATCTTGGTTGAGTATGCTCCTTTAAATAGTATTCACTGGAGTCAAATTGGGCTCTTTGCTTAATAATTACTCTAGTCGCTAAATTCGCATAGAACCAAGAAAAATGTTTCACTTTTAGATTTAAACTTGGCCTCGTACAAACACAACTGTATAAATAAATTAGTTGCTCAACACAACATTAATTGCCCTTGAAACGCACAATTTGCATAGAAAAACACTGATCTAAACATCTAAAAACAGCATTGTCCGCTTCAGATTCAAAATGTAGATTCTTCCAATGCTGGCTTATCGGGGTCTGTGAGGTGGGTGTCCCAGTAACTGTCCTTCATTACCCGGTGATTAACTACGCGACTTTTGGGCCTTCTTTGTTACTTTTTGTTAAAAAGGCCTCAAAAGGCCTAAAAAAGGGTAGGTCGCTGGGGGGGGGGGGCGGGTGTAGCAATTATATTTTTGTTATAGCATGTGATGGTGTTGTGCATTTGCATGTATGCATGCAGCATGTATGCATGTATCATGTATGCATGTATGCATTGTATGCATTATGCATGTATGCATGGTACATGTCAGCTGTATGCATTATGCAGTATTTCCCACACAAACACTCCTCCCAGCCCCCATAAGACCCACTCCCCCCCCCCCCCCCCCCCCCTGCCCCCGTAACCGCATCTCTCCGTCGCCTCAGGGCCCGCCAGCAGTCTTTCGGCGACGTCGGAAGCACCGACGCCGAGAAGCCGTCGCCGCCTCCGAGGGGCTTCCGGGGGGACTCGGGCCTGGACTCCAACCGTAGACAGCTTAGACATGTACATTGACTTTGATGGTTCTAAGTATATATGTATCTTTATAATCATAACATATCATCTTGCATTATGTGATATGAAGGAATACGACATAGCAGCAACATTCGCCGAAAAGAAACCTTGGGCACCCTTCCCTCGATGCCGTTGAGCACCAGGCACTACAGAGCTAGGACAATGATCCCTGCACTGTCGGCTGTTTAGGGCTTAGGGCTTAGGGTTTAGGGTCTAGGGTTTAGGGTTTAGGGTTTAGGGTTTAGGGTTTAGGGTTTAGGGATGTGCCGCTCTAAGCTATCTTCGACAACTCGACCCGACGAAGGCGATTCACTGCCGTGCCATGCAAATGCCATCCGGCTCGCACTGCTGCAGCCCCTAAACCCTAAATCCCAAACCCTAGACTCTAAACCCT